ATCAGCAAAGAATGTCCCCCTTTAATCTAAAATCGACGGGTCTGAGCGTTTTTCTACAAACTTGACGCAGTTCCTAAAAATGACTGTTTCGTTTTCATTTGGCCAACCTGTACATCGCGTTGTTGATGTGAGATTTACTTAATGTATATTTTATATCTAGAAGTATAGCGGAGACAATTTAGTCAGAGAAACTACCAATTAATCAGCCAATGACACCAACTCATCTTACGTCGACGCAGCATACCATCTTCCGCCCCAGCATTTTGCGGAATTACTGATACGATATATTTTTTTTATCATGTTTTCAATTTTGTGGCACATTGTAAGGAGCGCCATAATGACAAAATCATTTTTAACTGATTAGTCGCATGGAAAATATCTATTTGCGATTTTTACTTTATGAAACCGTACATCCTGACATTCTTTGCAGGTTTGTATTCTTTTTTTACATAACTTTTACCTTCTTGTTATTCTCAGTTGTATATTAAGTAAAAATATATTACTGAAATGAGGTAATTAGCCACAAAAGGCAATTAAAACATTTAAAATAATTGTAAATAGCAGCATATTTCCACACATAACAGACATGAAAACTGATTCGGCAAACGAATTTTTAAAGCCGACCAGATCGTTACTGGAAATCGAAAAACCAATTATACAGGACGTTACAATAAACATAATGGGATATTTTTGCAAGGAATAATTACCAGGCATTAAAAAAAACGTTAAAGTGAAACGAATTTGGCGGACAGCTGCGACATCCTAGACTATACCTCAACTGCGCCATCTGTTAATGGGAAGTTCAACTAAAATTTCATACCACCACCTTGTTTTGCTTTTTTTATTTTGTAATTGAAAGACAGAGAGGAGATACAGAAATAAGAAGTTGTCTGTAATAAGATGTCCATAGTCTAATATACTACAGGTTGATGACAATGACGTACGATATTGTCGAATATTTTTTTTAATCAAAGAAAAATTAACGAGTTTTCAGCGAAATTTCTTATATGTATAGTTCGCATTAACTTTCATTGCAACAATATTATTTGAAAATGTTTATAACTAGAAACTTAACAAACATTTTATGGGTCTGACGATATCTGCCAAAATAACTTTTAATCTATAAACCCATAATTACAAATATCTAGAATTTCTAGTCATAATTTTATCCGTTATTTTTATTATACTTCTGAGACAACGGCTCACGCATGTCTAGATTGACCCGCATGGCACGCCATTGAATTGCGGCTCTCTCTGACACCCTATCCATTAGTTTGATGGGTTAAACTGGCAACACTGAAGCAGTGGTCTGCGCAAAATGCCACTACAACAGACTAAATATTCTAAAAGTTACTACTTTGAAAGGTATTTTTTATTGAAAACAAAAGTGAAATGAAAAGATATGTTGTCAGGGCTAGTGATCGTTGGAGAGTGCCTGGTGGAGTCGCTCGCAGGTATGAGTATGTAATCTCTGGCGCCTATCTGCCGTGGCCATTTTCCAGAAACCATAGTGTGTGTATCCCGCGTTGCAGGATCTCTGTTCTTTGTCGCTTGCAACTGTTACACCGGTCCGTCTATTGAGACGATTAAACTTTTGTTTCGACACCAGCCATATATCTACGTTTTGTCACCAGTCATAACGCAGTTGGGCAAGTCTGGGTCATCAGCGACGTCAGTAAGCATTTGTTCAGCTACTCGTTTCATGTTCAAAACATTCGTAAAAATCCTCAAAAAAATCCATCAATCTCACAGGTGGTGATTTTTCCATTAGAAAGCACAATCTCTAACTTTTCCACGTTTTCATCACTGGTGAACGTGCTAGGCTGTCCAGACCTCGCGTCATCTCCGATGTCTTCTCGGCCTCTATTTGTACCATAGATAAACAAACTCGTGACTGTGATTAGTGTCGTCGCCAAAGGCCTTCTTTGACATTTTGAAAGCTTCGCTACATTTAATTCCGTTTTTAACACAAAATATCAGACAAACTCGCTGATCTGACATTTCGCCACACAAAAAGTCGTCAAAACACAAGCTATGCTTGGCAGCTGCCTAAAAATTGACAGATATGTCACTGACAGTGCTACCAATACACAAAAAAAAACAATCAACTCGATAGATAAGATTCAGCACGCGCAATTTGAAATTTCTCGTTACTCTTTGATCAAACCTTGTATTTTAAACTTTTTAATGACTGAAACTGTTCATTTTGTCTGGTGATCTAACCGGCCGACGAATAAGACCATTAGTGTTTTCAACCAATCCATCTACCAAGAAATGTGTGAAACAAATGAAAATAAAAAATAATTTATACTTGTACAACTTTATCAATGGAATATTACAATACCATTGATATCTTTACGCAGGAATAGTTCACGCTTTTTAAGGAAACATATCGGAACAATTTTGTGTAAATTGTCAACATAACGCTTGTTTTGATTCTAATTTACAAATATAAGGAAAGTGGTTTTATTTCCAATAAAGAATTGTTCCACTGCGAACGTACTTCCTTGTCTGTCTTCGACCGCACTATTTCCATAACTATCTTATTTTAAATAGAAACTTGCATTTTCAGACTGGTTTAATGCGATAAGTACATATCGAGCCAGTAAAGTAATTATCACATATTTGGATTACATATATGCCACTTCCATGTGCAACTTTCTAACATCTGATTGGATCGATTAAGCACTCGCATTATAGGAAGGAAATATAAAAGCTTTTTGATGAACCTGGGTATTTCTAAACAATTTCATCATGCTTTACTTGCAAGGTAAGCATTTTGTAGTTTATACATTCTCTATCAAATTATATTCTACAAACATCGAATGTTGTTTGGGAACCCCTGGAATGATGCTGTAATAGAAACGTGCAGTGTAGTGTTGTTGGATTTTTTTGGCCACGAAGTGATGTGATTGCGAGAGGATTAGTGAACATAATAATAAAGCTTCGAAAATAAAAATACGAATAATTTGCATATAATTATGTTAAAAATTGCATAAATTGGCAAGTGTAAAATATTCGTGACATGCTCATAGAAGTATGTAACACACTAGTTATACAGGGTGTTATGGAAATAAGTACAAAAAATTTAGTGGTGATAAAATATGAAAAAAACAACAAAACATGATTTGTCTACGGATCGTGAGCTTTATTTTTAAGGAAAGAGATTCTTTTTTTATATTTGAGTTAAATTGTGCGAAAGGAGACTATTTTAAAGAGCAATGTATTTCATTGAAATTTGGTACAGTGTCTCTTTCAGTGACATTTTAAGACTTAACTTTTTTAAGTTACTTTTATGTTTCTTCTAGTGTGTCTTATATTAAAACGTTAAATATAATTTTACACGAAAAAAGTACTTACAAAGTTGCTTAAAATGCACCATTTTTGTCTGTATATACCTATATGTCATAGTCAAATATGGCTAAAGTTTTATTTCATAAAATCATCTTTGATGCCGCGGACCTCAAAAACAAGAATAGGTCCATAAGAAAAAATCGTCTCATTTTTTTATGTAGAATCATCCACCAAATTACTTTTCTTTCCGACAACCTTGTATAATATCGATGGTGTGGTGTGGCGTAAACAATGCGCCTATTATGGTTCAACTAATTGTAAGTTATATAAAAATGACAGGGTGTCCGCAAATATTACCGACAACGTTTTGCTGCATATTCACGACGATAAATATGATCTGCATGTGTGGAGTGATGAGAATCCTAAATAAATACGACAATAATGACATTACCTGATAGCCGCAGCAATCAACATCTTGTTTTCATCGCCTACTGAAGTCAAAGTTTTAAATCCGTGACACATACTTGCAAATAATGCCATTTTTCTCAAGAATGGCTTTCTAACTGGAGAAAACTATCACCCAGTATATCGATTTGACTAAAACTTTAATAAATAATACGCCACAATAGTCCAAATAATGTGCCAAATTTTAACGCGATCGGTAAATAGGTTATGAAGTTATTAATTAAATCAGTTTTATTTTTGACAACTTTGAAGAACTGTAGCTCAAAAACTAAAGTATTTATGTAACTTTTTTCGTAGAACGTATTTTTTATCGTCTTGAATATGCAGTGAAACGTTATCGGTGAAATTTGTGGACACCCTGTATATAGTCCATTTCTGGTTTGTTGACACAAATATTGACAAACACATTCCAAATTCTTTCTTAAGCATCATGGAATAAAAATAATAATAGCATATCTTCTAATGAAGTATCTAACTTGCATTATTTATATTCCTGTAATACACATTATCGAGAAACGAGAAATGAAAATCGATATAATATTCAAGTGACCAAAAATTTTTCTTTTTTAAAGTAAGTTTTGGACACCTGAAATGAATAAAATCGTTATCACTCTTTTTTACCATGAAAGTACAACTCTTAAGGAAAAAAATGAGCCCTGATACGTTTCTCTACGACTATTCGTCGAGCAAGAAGAGCCGATTTTCGAAATGACGTTTTTTTTTCGAAAAATCGATATAACTCGAAAAATTTTTAATATTTTTTAATTTAAAAAAGGCACTTTTTTGCTTGTCGAGGGCTACATTTACAGCATGTTTCAAAACCTTAATTTGAGAAAGATACAGCAAAAACAAAAAAGTCGATTTTTGACTGTTTTCGAATTCGAATCGATAGGTTTTTTAATAGTTAAAACTCATTTAACTTTTTTCGATTGGAAGTTTTTTTATTAGCGAAAAAACCGTTTTTTTACTTTTATGAATTTTTTAGGTTAACTTCGCCGTTTATGCGCCACAGGAAAAAACGCTATCTTAGAATTTTTTTCTTATATCGCCAATTTTTTGTTTCCAGGTGGAATTTTTTGTAAGCTCTTCTACCTAATGATTGGACGATATTAGTTGAACATTCAGATACAATCGAACAATTATTTATTTTAGGAAGCATCAAACATATCAGATGTCCCACCGTACTGAAGTACTTATATTTATTGACCCTCCTTGATGGTCAATGTCTTTGTAAGTTTACAATGGAAGAGTATTTGCAATGGAACATCTTAGACTTTGAATATCCGAACGAATATTTAAGGAATCAGGCTTTGTTGACAGGAAGATTTAAACCTCAGAATGGACTACCTGTTGGAATAGAAATATGGACCGACAAAATTTTCATCACAGTTCCCAGATGGAGAGAAGGTGCGCTAAATACCTATTAACACTTAATAATTACGATTTTCAGTGGTGGTATTCATATATCTTGCTAATTAAGTAAATTGAGAATTCAGAAAAAAATGTAAATCTTTAAGTTGTTGGGTTTACGTACTTATGAGGTTTATAAAGGTGAATCAAAAAATATACCTATATGCCAATAGTCATTTTATAAAATTGTTAGATATTTACAAAACGACGTAAGCGATTATCAAATGTTTAAAATACATCGCGAGATTCATATTCTGAAGATTAAATTTTGGACAAATATTAACAACCTCAACGTGATATATTTATACAGGGTGTCCGCGTTTTTTGTAGCAGGACTTTCACAACTTGTACTAAGTCCTTTAAAAAAAAAGTTCATGTATACATATATGTATAGATGCGTCGTTTTCGATTTACAGAGTGTTCAAATTTAAAATGAGAATTGATTTTTTATTCGTAAAACGAAAACCCCTTTTTAGACTTTGTTGAAACTTGGCAACTTTGTAATAATAATACTCATTTTCTCACATAATTTAATTTGTTCTATTTTCTCCAGTGGCGTCACAACAAGATACCAGCTTGATAAAAATAGAAAAAAATATGGTACGCCACTGCTTTTTGGTAAGTTTGAAATTTTTCTCAGATTTAGCTATCAAAAATACAACTTTTTTGTTATTTAATTTTTTTCCTATCTCGCTTTGTTTAGTCAGAAACAAAACATTTACATGAATAGATTCGAGATTTGCTTAATTTATTTATTTACTTGTTACAAAGTGTGCCGTGAATATGTCTGTTTTTGAGTTGTCAAGGATTTTTTGTTGGGACCTTACATCTTGCCCAATAGATTAAGCGGTCAATTATTTCTTGAATTTTTAACTACCCAGAATGACAACATGCTAGACGATGATCCTTTTCAACAAAGAATTGGGTGGCCTCCGCGATCGCCTGATCTAACATCTTTGGATTTTTTTGTTTGGGGATTTATTAAGGATGCAGTTTACTTTACGCCTGTTAACTCGCAAGAGGAACTTGTACGACGAATCTGGAACGCTGCGCTTAGAATAACTCCACATCATTTGAGAGACGTTAGGCGGTCTTTACGTCGCTGTAATTGGTGTGTAGAACGAAATGGCGAGCATTTCGAACAGCTCCTTTGAAGTCTATTTATACAATTAGTTGTTTTTCCATACCGTGTTGTTTATTTTTTTTTTATTATCTTACAATAAACTGTGTGAAACAAAAAGTTTTATTTCTGTATAAACAAAGCGAGATAGGAAAAAAAAAGTAAATAACAAAAAAGTTGTAGTTTTGATAGCTAAATCTGAGAAAAATTTCAAACGTACCAAAAATCAGTGGCGGAGCATATTTTTTTCTATTTTTATCAAGCTGGTATCTTGTTGTGAGGCCACTGGAGAAAATAGGACAAATTAAATTATGTGAGAAAATGATTTTTATTATTACAAACAAAGTTGCCAAGTTTCAAGAAAGTCTAAAAAGGGGTTTTCGTTTTACGAATAAAAAATCAATTCTCATTTTAACCTTGAACACTCTGTAAATCGAAAACGACGCATCTATACATATATTATGTTTACATGAACTTTTTTTTTAAAGACTACAAGTTGTGAAAGTCTTGCTACAAAAAATGCGGACACCCTGTATATACAGGGTAGGAAAGTACCGATGGTCTATCTGAAGTTACGTGAGAGCGATAAAGTAAGCCATAGAAATCCATGTGATAGACAAGGATGGGTATAGTGAAGGCGTCTAATAGTCACCGCCCATTTCGCCCTTCCACAAATAAGAAGTGGATCTTATCCATCGGTACTTTCCTACCCTGTATATTTATTCAAGTAGAGAAATATTCTCATAACATTCTACTATTCCTTTTATCTTTCTTGCCTTTCTATTTAAGAAAAATGATAAGGGTCAAAGTTTTAGTAAATTTTCTTGTAATGTTCCTCGTGAGATATAAACCAAACTTTCGTTTTTTTCAATGGAACACCCAGTATATATGTCGTTTTTCAGATACCTCTTCTTTTTCTGACTACAACGGTGTATACAAGTTATTGCTTTGTAGTTTGCACAATATTTTTGTTTTTACTGATCCTGCGTATGATCAAGATTGCCATGAAACCAATGCGTGGGTGCGAATGTTTCGTGCTGTTAAATTTCCCAGACAAATCTTTAAATTCTCTATTAAGAAATTAGGATTCTTTTAAAGGATAGAACACCAAAAACTGTTTTTTCGAATAGTTATATTTTATTTTTACGAATCAAGGCCTACCTCGATTTTTGTTGAGGTTAAAATTGAAGAAATTGTATTAGCGTTTTTTTTATATAAAATCATAATACGCCCCTGAAATCAGCATCCTATTAAATAGGTATATACCAAATTCCTTAAACAACACTTAATAAATAAAATAAAGTAAATAACAAATTACAATGCATTTACTATTACAAAGTAAGCCATGGAATAAATATCACAAATAGGTATCAAAATTTATTCTAACAATATCGCTAAGCAATAAGAACAAATCACGCCAATGACACCGTCCGTGATAATAACAAATCGACACATACGTCAAGTAAAAAACTGTAGTAAAATGTTATGCATATAAATTTTCATAAAATTTTAAATAAAAACATCAAAACATGAATCGTCTGAAAATATGTTATCTAATAGTTTTCAGCAATACTATACAGGGTGTAAGAAGTTTGATTGTTATTACTTCAGCATGTAAATCATAAATGATCAAAAAAGTTGTATATCACAGGGGAGTAAGATTAACAGTTTTCAAAATACAGCGAGTATTATTATATTGGGGAGTTTCATCACAACGTGACAACAGCGCTTAACTTACGCTACACAGCTGATGCAGGCCACGTGTGCACGCGGCAGACTTGTCCTACGGAAAAAATGTAAACAACCATTATTGTGAAACATTTAGTAAATTTCAAGAAAATTGTTTCCAGTTTTTAAATAAATAAAATAAAATATTCGATTTTGCAGTACGAAGTATTGTGCTTAAATTTTAGCTCGAATTTTAGCAATTATGAATCTCTTAAAACAGGAACTTAACTTTTAATCAAATTATGAATTTGAAAAATATGTAATGAAAGTACCCAAAGATTCACGTCGTACAAATAATCATACGTATTACAAATAATTTGGGTACTTACTAAACCGCAAAATTCAGTCATTTTTAAACGTACAAGCACAAAACAAACTACAACATATGCTCAAAATGTCCACCACCATTTTCGACGCACGCACGACACCTTCGAATCCAATTTTCGCACACTCGCTGGAAAATTGCCACGTGTGGTAAACATTTTAAAAAAGCAAAGAGAAACACCTCAAGAAAAGGAAATAGTGGTACGCAAAAAACACTCAGATACGGTCCAATTCCAGATACCAACTGAATTGCGTATTACTGGTTTCTGAACTGCTTTTTAGAATAAAACATAAAGAAGTTCAAAAAAGTGATAAACATTGTATTTTATGGTATTCTATGCACGCAATTATTTTAATTAATTAATTATTCCGTAATTAATCGAACTTTTGTACATCAAGCTGGAGATTTTGAACATTTTTTTCTCGGAAATGGACCCACGTCATATAGGGTTTTTTGTTTAGTTTAAGCCCGGTACTTTGAGTCTCGGTTAAGGCTTGATTAACTAATCAGGCGATTAGACTGTGACTATCTTTTATAAAATAAATCAGTATATGTACAATCTAATCGCCTAATCAGTTAATCACTTTAACCGCTACTCAAAGTACCAGGCCTTAATGTATTCTATCGTCTATGAAAATTAAGGCAGTCAAACTTCTAACACCCTGTATATGTCCTGTTAAAGATATCGACAGAATATTGGTTACAGTAATCGAAATTTAAAATTTTATTGGTTACGATTTGCGGTAAACAAAAAAAGTCGTCGTTGCTTTGAAAATAATTATTTTGTACTAATGGGAAATGTTATTTTATTTAAAGCAAAGTTATATTATACAAATCAATTACCAACGTTTGAGCATTTTGAGTTGAACTGTTACGAGAATCCTTCGGTTTATGCTAGAAAATGTATGTACCCATTCATGATTTTCCGCATACATTAAAATTTAAATAATTATTTCTCGGAAATCACTGGATACTTTTTTTTGAAATTTTTTCACATGCTTTTGTACAGTCATACGAGTAGTTATTGCTGCTTAACCAAATTTATCTTGTCTGGGGGTTTCAGTTGCACAGTTGCATTGTTACCATACTAGCATCAGAGCTCATTGTCTGTTTGAAGCTACTACTCTACTATTAAGACTTTTTTCTTTGTCATTGCTTCTGCGGACTCTTGATCACGCTGACAAGAGAAGTTTGGTCAAGCTGTAGTATTGAAATCGTAGTAATCGACCAAAAAGATACTATAAATATTGCATTTTCAGGTATTCCATCGACATTGAATTACGTCCCATTGGACTCACCTACGAAAAACCCCAGGCTGATCCCGTACCCTAGCCTGGAAATGAACGAACTGGGTAACTGCGACAAGGGACTCAGCACCGTGTACAGAATCCACGCCGACAAATGCGACAGGCTGTGGGTACTGGACACGGGAACTTTCGGAATAGAGAACACCACCCAGAACCTTTGCCCTTACGCCCTTAACATTTTCGATTTAAGAACGGATCGGAGGATTAGGAGGTACGAATTCAGACCCGAGGACACGAACTCCAGAACTTTCATCGCAAATATAGCGGTGGACTTGAAGTTTGGGGACTGTGAAGATGCATTTGCGTACTTCAGCGACGAGTTGGGGTACGGACTCATAGTTTATTCGTACAAGGAGAACAAATCTTGGAGGTTCAAGCACAGTTACTTCATGCCGGATCCCTTACGCGGCGATTTCACCATAAACAAACTCAACTTCCAATGGGACGAGGAGGGAATCTTCGGCATGAGCCTGTCGCCTCTGTATAGTGACGGGTATAGGTTGTTGTTCTTCAGCCCTATTGCTTCTTACAGGGAATTCGTGGTGTCGACAAGAACTTTACAAAACAGTTCCAAAGTGGAGGGCAGCTACAAGGAATTTTATCCATTAGAAGAACGCGGACCTGACGCCCACACCACTGCTAGAGTCATGGACGAAAATGGAATACAGTTTTTTAACCTCATAGATCAGAACGCCGTGGGCTGTTGGAACTCGAAGAATTCCTATCACCCCCAAAATTTAGGGATCGTGTATAAAGACGACGTTAAGTTAATTTTCCCCTCTGACGTTAAGGTGGACCGGTACCATAACCTGTGGATGATGTCCGACAGGATGTCTGACTTCTTAATTTCTTCCCTAGACTACAGACAAGTAAATTTTAGGATATTTTACGCGCCTATCGACGTTTTGATCGACGACACCGTTTGTAGTAATTATGTTTACGTATTAAATGGCAAATATTCTGGAAAAGTATATAACAACCTGTTCTTTTAATAAAGACGTTAAAGCTTGAGATGTTTCAACTTAAAAAGTAAACTAGTTTCGTAATTTTATATGCAGTATGTTCCACTTTAAATGAATATAAGGCCGTAACTCCTTTCACAAGGAATATAAAGAAAATTGTTTTTGACTATTGTTGTATTATAGTGTATGCTCTCGATGTAACTATACTTAATTTTAATTTCCAGTCTTCGCGACATGTTTTTTGAAACAGAAGTTCAATAACACCTTTACAGTTTTGTTAATTTACATGTTATTGTGTCATTTTGGTATTCATATATTAAAGAATTGGTAGGTTCTATTACAAGATCGAAGTAATTGAGGTTATGTCATAATTTTCCCACCAACATGGGGATATGATTCTGATAAGGTATTTCGTTAATATGCAGGGTGTTTCAGTTCGAGTGAATCAAACTTTAACCACAAATAGAACTCAATAAATAAATTCAGAATTCCCTTATAGAGCAAAGGTCTAAGTCCCACCGTTTTCACTGTACAGGGTTAGTCAACGATTGATTAAAGTAGATTTACTCCGAATTGCTAAAGTTTATCAAAAAACTATTTCTACAGGGTGATAAGTACGCTAACAGGGCACATTTTAAAAATATTTTGAAATATACAGGGTGCTCCAAAAATTTGTGACAGACAGATTTTACAACATTTTTAGATTCTACGTTTAATTTGAAACATTTTGATATAAAGTTTCCTCTATCTAAATTTAATAGTTTCTGAAATAATTGGAACTAAATAAAAAATATTGCATTTTTGTACCTGTATTTAACAGTAGCTATCCTCGTTATTTTTCAAAATTAAAACAATATGTTTGGTTCCTTGTTACTGTTAAGGTGGCTTAAGAACGTCATGGATTCAAATTTTGATTAGCGCCTACAGGGTGTTCGTAAAATAATGACAGATTTGAAGAAGTTTAAACTAAAAAATCTTAATTTTTTTAAATGGAAACTTTATATCAAAATGTTTCAAATTAAACGTAAAATCTAAAAATGTTGTAAAATACAGGGTGTTCCATTTAAAAAAATTTAAGTTTGGCCTGTCACAAACTTTTGAAGCACCCTGTATATTTTAAAATATGTTTAAAATGTGCCCTGTTCGCGTGCTATCACCCTGTAGAAATAGTTTTTTGATAAACTTTAGCAATTCGGAGTAAATCTACTTTAACCAATCGTTGACTCACCCTATACAGGGCCGTATTGGTCGGTTGTTAAAATCATATTATTTACGAAATCTTTGGTATGCTTATAACAAATTGATTTCAATTTGGTGTGGTATTAACTTTTAGACATTTGCATAATTTACTGTAAAATTCAGAAATGATAAGAAAGACAAACAGTAAGTCATTTTTAAAATAAAATGACATTTCCTGATAACAGATTAAGTCTTTATTGCTCAGTTGTTTTTTCATGGCAATCGTTGTGTACGGATACTGTAATGGGCGCACAACGCAGATTTAAAATTAATATGTGGGTGTAATTTAAAAAAAAAAATTATATCTGTTTGGAACAAACAGACCGTTGAATGAACAAGGATACTTAATTGCTTCAGAATGGCATAATATGAAATTTTAGAGGAGATGCCATTGAATATGCTGTTCACCGCACTGTAACGAACAAAAAAATGAGCTCAGAGGGAGAATTCACCATATTACAAATGCAATAAATAATACATAATGTAGAGACAGATTTAATATTGTTTTGAGTCCTAAGTTAATGCGTGACATTATAATAATATTAATTTAAAATTCATTTCCTGTCCTTAAGAAGCTAAATTTCTTATCAGAAGAACGGTCTTCCATTCAACTGAGATTTTCGGTAAAACGATACACTATACCGATTTTCAACAAGTATACCTTTTTTATGTAGAATTGTCCACGAATTCTAAAAATGAATCCCAAATGAGTATTAGGTCATTGGTGTAGAAGTTGGGGTAAAAAAATCCCACTTTACTACCCATTCCCATACCACTAACCTACAAAAATTTGTAAACTTTACAGTAAATTATGCACATGTGTAAATGTTAACACCACACCAAATTTGAATCAATTTGTTATAAGCATACCAAAGATTTCGTAAATATGATTTTAACAACCGACCAATACGGCCCTGTACGGCGAAAACGGTGAGACTTAGACCCTTGCTAGTCGAGGAAATAATGCACAAAATGAGCCGAAATCGCCTAAATTTTTCGATCAAGTCGTATCAAGATGGGGTTTTTTGCATTAGTTTTCTAAAATTATGTGGAAAAAATGTAGCAACTTGTATTATGTTTTAGGGCCAAATTGCATTTGTGCAGTACAACATGCATCCGGAAAAATGCATTTTTTAAATAAATCAGGGTCCTGGGGGTTTTCGAGGTCGCTGATCCCGAATATGGAGCGCCCCGAAAAAAACCCTGATGCGATTTTCGGCTCGTTTACGCGAATTTTACAGGAAAACTCCCGGAGATGATGACCATGTCAGGTTCCCGTGCACTAGGTAAACGGGGGGGGGGGTGCTCGCCGACGCCAGATTAGGAATCAGCGACCCGAAAAATCCCCGGGTGTCAAGTCTCGTTGCATTTAAGAGTGAAATTCAGGAGAAGCCTCGGAGATGACGTTCATCATCAATCCTAAGCTCCAGGTCGGCGATGGACCAATTTGAAAGTCATATTCGGGATCAATGACCTAGAAAACACCCAGGACCCTGATTTGAGTCCATTCCAGGCATTATTAACCGACTTATGAATTTTGTCTAAGTGACTTTAAAAATGCATTTTCCGGATGCATTTTGCACTGGACAAATGCAATTTGGCCGAAAAACATAATACATAAGTTGTCACATTATTTTCACATAATTTTAGAAACCGAATGCAAAAAACCCCATCTTGATAGGACTTCATCGAAAAATTTCGGAGGTTCAGTGCATTATTTCCTCGACTATGCTTCATAAGGCAATTTTGAATTATTTATTGAGTTCTATTTGTGGTTAAAGTTTGATTCACTCGAACTGAAACACTCTGTATAGATATTAGCTTGGTTTGCAGACTTCCGCGTAGATTGCCAGTGACTTAACAATTTCCGCTATATTGCTGCCATACCGTCAGTTTAAGCTTTTTGACATTTCGACAGACAAATCGCTCTCTTCTAAAAAAGAAACTTTGGAACTGGAGAATAAAAGAATAGAGAGAAAGGTAAGGGACCCAGATGTAATGTGAGATGAAACTAGACTCGCTACTCGCTTCAGGTGACTTAGAGCATTTGCAGGCTTATCACGTGCAATTTTTTTTATCATTACGTGATATTAAATAACAGTCATTTTTTTTCTCGAGTTCAGGCCCGGATCCAGAGGGGGTGGCGATGTGGCGATCGCCACCCCCAAAGCAAAACATTTTTTAAAGATCTTCAATTTCTCCAAACGACAACAGGCAGTTAGTCGATATTAATGCAAGTCCCCCTTCCTAACCTACACCTTACGTCATCAAAAAAATAACAACAACAACAACAGCAACAACAATAATAATAATAATAATAATAATAATAATAACAATAATAATGATAAAGAAGTGCTTTGCGCCACCCCCAAAACCAGTCTCTGGATCCGGGCCTGCTCGAGTTCCCTTATGAAAAAAGTTATAACTGTATCCATTTAAAGCGAAACACTATAAAATTTTTAGTAAATTTTATTCGAGGTTGATGAATCACATCCTCTCTTATTCTAATAGTGTTTATTTAACATAAAGTTGAGAATATAAAAATAATTTGTTTATTTATATGTTATTAGGTAGATATTAGATTACGTTATATTTACCTTGTAGACAGCAGCTGTAAACTTGTGATTACCATACACAAATTCTTGTAACGCCTCATCCTCTACCGGCGTGGCTAGCGACCCACAAATTAAGAATAGCAAAGCGACACACTTCATTCCTAATAAATTTCGTCAACCTAGAATCAATATTACTAAATGTAAAACTTCAACATTCACAATAAATGTTGCTTTTATTTTTGCTGCAAGCAGTTTTATCCGAAATGTCAAAACTGATATTCCACAAAAACAGTGGTATTCAGTTTTCTTTTAGTTATACAGGGTGCCCCTGAATTAATGCGACACGGAGTTATTGTGAGTTCGAGGTGCCAAAATATTACGAATAACTTACTTTAATCCAAACATGTTAAATTTCGGTCAAATTCATTTGATCAAAATAATTTGAAGACGAGATCAAACTTCAGTTTTCATACCATTAAATTATTTTGATCGAACTGATTAGGTCAAATTAGATTATTTTTTCTAGTTTTCATTTAATTGGAACATAGAGCAGCATTAATAAAGAGTGGTTAATTTGGTGTTTTTATCAAACTCGTCACGACATCTAAATGACTTCTTCAAACTGTTTTGATCAAACAAAGGCGAAAAAAATGATTATATTACAAGGATGTAAAGTTGCTAAAGACATCTGAAAATTAAACTCTCTAGATTAGGGACTTTACAGGAAATTAATTGAAGAAAATAAGATTATAGCTCCATGGGTTATGGTGTCAAATTGCAGAGGGCATTTCGATTTGGCAAAAATGGCAGCTATTAGCAGCTAATAGCAACTTAGAGTTACTCTGAACTGATATCAGTTGTTAATAGGTACCTACTACTTTTGCCAAAACGAAAACCCCACAGTACTACAAATATTGACATATTAGATAATTGAAGTTACAGACGTTGGAGAATATTTGCATTATAAACTGTAAAAAACTGTTTTAAAATGTGTATAAATTAAACAAACCTTGGAACTGCTAAATAAACACTATAAACAACAAAACCTAACAGAAGTATGTCAAGATTTATAGTTCTTCCGAGAACCGACAGATAGCGTATCGCTTATTTTCAAATGTCTAAGTCAGTGGTTTTTAACCTATGGTTCACGGACCTCTGGGGATCCACCATCTCCTCCCAAGGGGCACGCGGAAATTTTCAGGAACATTTGATCACTAATAACAACTAATTAAGAAAATGCACTCTCTTATATCAGAATGTAATTGTATGTCTTTCCAAAATTTATGTTTGGTGCGCAATTTAGAATTAATATTTCAAACCCACTTAAATTGGGACTATTATACAGGGTGTCCCAGAATAACGTGTACACCGCGCGCCATTATTCTATGGCTAGAAATTGGCCTCAATGATTTGGGATCGAGGGGGATTATCCCTCTTTATCCTGCCTCATCTCGTGTAGGCCTGGACAGCCTTCGTAGGTGGGCCCCATCCGTCGTCTACCCCGACCGCAAATGCGGCCGGTGTAGGCGCTTTGTGGGACCTCCTTTTGTCCTGGCTGGGCCCCGCCGGCTAGGGCCCTTTCTTCTGGCGCTCTTCTTGCTTCGCCGGCTCGTCTGTGTAAACCCCGGGGGTAGTGTCATGTTTATGTGTGGTATGGTTGGGTAGGGTAGTGCGGCTATGCAGCCTGGGATGCGCTTTGCTAAGG